TCTGTGGGCTCGTGGTTCCCTTGAGCTTGCTACTGCACCACTGTTATCACAGTACAAGGTATTAACACGTGGCAAACTCGGAATCACTCGAAATCACACGCCTTAGCGTAGCTCAATCTGTCCACACTCGACAGAGAAGAGATCCCCACCTCGGATTTAGGGTCCCAAACCATTAAGGGCACTCGAGCAGCATTCTTAGCGCTCTCCGGCATCTCAATTCTTGACGACATATGTGGAGTCTTAACTGATTGAAAAGTGGTGAACCACTCCTCCACAACACCTTCAGGCACCTTAACATTGGCGGCCCGCTCTTCGTCAATGGATAAAAATGACTTCTCGAATAAGGGAGATTCGTCATGGCCCTTCTCAACGGCTTTACGACCGAAGTCATGCTTTTTCTTCGATCTCTTTTCCACTCCGGAAGAAGCACCCACGTCAGCCATTTTCACCAACTTTCTCTTTTTCCTCTTCTCCGGTTGCTCCGACTCCAGGGACTTTGGAGAAGAAGGCGGTTTTTCAAGCCCTTCACCTGGTATCTCGGTATGCACGACCTCAGCCGTGGCCAATTCAGTTCCCGTCATAATCGGTTCAGGTTCTGCTTGGTTGATCGCAGTAGCATTCACAGCTGACGGCACCTCGGCAGTTATCACCCCCTGCAAAGACTTCGGGCTCTCCGGAATAGCAGCCGAAGTCGCGCTCGATCCCACTTCGGTCGATTTTTTACTAGTATTCTTCTGACCGGCGGTTCTCTTCACCAAAGCACGGACTAGATCCCTCCTCATGGCGTCGTTCAATTTCAAATCTCGACTTTTACCGAATTTAGATTGAAGATCTCTATTCGGATACTTGCGCCTGAAATCTTTTGCCTCCTTAACGGAACTATAACCCAAAAATCCGAGAAGTGGATAGTATACTGCATCAAGAAGGAACGACCAACAGATAAAATCACATACAACTGTTTCTAAATAGATAAAAATATCAAAGCAATAGAGGCTCTCTTACTGGGGTCAAATTTCGAGCTAGAAACTCCAGGGGACAGACCGGCAACTTCGAGTTTCGAATCTACGACCAGTGTACGATAATCTCGTACCTCCTTGTCCAAGCCAGCAAGTGTTATCAATTTCCCACCGAATTCCGGACTCAACTTCGGCTCCTTCTGCTTGGTCTCTTTTTCTACAAAGGGCAAAAGTTCCGACCTGTTAGTACACAGAACAAAACAAAATTAGAAAGATATATTCGACTTAAAAAATGAAATAAATTCACTTGCTCCGGAATGAATAAACATCGGAATCGTCATCCCGTCAATCCGAGGTTCATGGAAAAAGCTCTCGGACTGCCATTCTCCCCCAATCCACAACCACTCTTTCTGGAATCCGTGAAGAGTTTCCGGGATATCAGTTATTATCTCACCGACTCTCAGACCATAATGTGGCTTCGCCCCGGCAAAGAAACAACATGACGACTCCGCAACGTGTCTCTTCGG